AAAAAAGAATGCTTACCATAACTTCCGATTTCTGCGTGGCATTCATGGAGAGGTAAGGTTGCAAAGTTTCTGCGTGCCTAACGAGCAGTTCTGGGCGCACCTAAAAATGATTCAGGTATAGGTTGCAGATGCTGAAGAAGCCATGATCAGATATGACAGACTCGATTAGAAAAATATCAAAGGATAAAGTGACCGCGTACCTTGCTGAATAACGTCAGAGTGTTGAGACAAGCAAGAAGTCGTTCCTGATTTGCTTTGTGTACCTCAGCACCGGCCAAGTCCTCACTGTTAGAGGTGTTATTGGTATTGGCAGATACCCCATTTTCTAAAACAGCAACATGATTGAAAAACTAACAAAATGGACGAAACAATCCTTCTCACCAGTTGCCATTTTGTTTTCAAGTGTGAGGACATTGTCCATGAACATGTCAACAATTTGTCGGCTTGCAGCCAAGGTGCTCTGGAAAAATAAGCTCAGCCGCTATATGGTATAATTAAAGAATAAATAACAAACCTTATCCCCTTGCTTGAGTAAAGCTTGAAAAAGCATCTCTAGCGCCTCAAGTTTCGACTCTTCTGCACATGTTTGGACAACTTTTGTCATCACGACAACCTGAAAGTACTCCTCGATTCAAAAACTGTATATTCAGGGTTCTAGGGCCAGAAAAAGGTTTTACCTTCTTCAAAAGCGCAGGAGTGTTCCTCTCAGAAACTGGTTGAAACCACAAATTTTGAAAGGTCTCGAGCACGAGCTTCTTGACACCTTCCTCATCCTGCACACGCCGCACAATTTGAGCAAGCATAGTGGGTATCTATAAAAGTACATGTTGAGAAAACTAACTTTGTATCAAAAACAATAAAAGTCTACCTGCTCGAAATTGGGGAATTTCTCGCAAATTTCCCTCATTATGCGGATGACACGCTTACGAACAGCAAGGCCAGTGTCCTAAACAAGAGCTATCGGCTTAGGCTGACAAATGCACCGGAATTCACAAACCATCAATCGCTCAGCAAGGAGTGGGTAATACGTTGGAATGGCATCGTAGTTGGCAACAACGAATTTACCAATCATTTCCACCGTAGCCTCCCGAACTGCTGCATTAGAGTCGGTCATGCGATTATGAGCAGCAGAGGAAACTTCTGGCTATAAAAGTGGGAATGGAACAACAAGAAATGACTACACACTCGTGTTAACAAGAAAGTCTAGCACTAAATCAAAATCAATTGCAAAGAGACCAAAATAAGTGAAAAGAGGACAGAATCGTCAAGATAAAACCAAAAGCAAAGGAACCCACCATCAGCAAAACCGACTGATCGCTCTCGATGATCTGCGTCAAACATCGCATTGCCTTCGTTCGCAAACTTACTGTGGTTTCCGTCGTGATACCAGCGATGATCTGCAAAGTCCGCACGTATGCAGATAACAAATAAAGCCGAAAACAATGATAAGTTTGCAAAAAAAATTTCTAATAGCAGTACCTGTTTCAAGAACGTATCGAATGAGTGTGTAAATTCTCTCTTCGCCGCTAAATACTTGATGCACCATGCTACATCAGACTCTAACATTGAGCTACCAA